GGCTAAATTATCAAGACAGGCGCAGAGTACTGTACCTCTATTTACACACAAGAAAATGCCTCTATTTTGGAATGATTGTCTGAGGGCATCCCAGTAACAGTAAATTTGGCAGAAAGTTTCTTGATTGTGTATCTTGTAATTTTTGCCAGTAGGCCACCTAGTACCATACCTTAGACTTGACTGAAAAGACGTTTTGAAATAAGCAACAAGTCCTTTTTAGTCCTTGTGAGGTGGGTAGGAGACGGTCGACCAAGGATGTATAATTTGTTAGAAGGGAAAGGAACGTACTCCAGGTATGCACTACGAACTCTAGACCTTGCTTATAATTGAACCAAAATATGAGACTCTCAGTCTTCTTGCTATCAAGGATTTCCCTCTGGATCTATAGGGCAAATGCCACCCCAAGATCCCCAGGCAAAGGTCCCATTTTATTTTATTTTATTTTATTTTATTTTATTTTCCTTTTTGTCTTTCTTTTTTCGTGACCGGCAACGGATCGCAACCCTCAGTGTCGCGCCCATACCGGACCGGGACCGGCAACGGGATCGCAACCCTCGGTGTTGCGCCCGCACCTCGCTCAGCCAGTGAGCGGCCTTTCTGTATGTGGGATCCAAACCCTCAACGGGAGCGCTGCCGCGCTTCTCAAGCGGCACACACCTCGCTCAGCCAGTGAGCGGCCGTTCTGTATGTGGGATCCAAACCCTCGGCGGGAGCGCTGCCGCGCTTCTCAAGTGGCACAAGCACCTCGCTCAGCCAGTGAGCGGCCTTTCTGTATGTGGGATCCAAACCCTCAACGGGAGCGCTGCCGCGCTTCTCAAGCGGCACACTGTAGCAGTGCGCCACCGGGCCGGCCCCAAAGGTCCCATTTTTTGTTGTAGGATGAAATCCCTGGTCCTGAGACTCTCAGACCTCAAAGGAAGCTGCACCCAGATGTTGCCCTCATGCCCTGACATCCATGGGAGATAATCAGGTTTGGCTGGTACTGGATTCCTCCTCCTCCTGTTTCTGCTCCTCCTCTTCTCACCTCCATGGAGGCTGTTGGCCTAAGCCCACCACAAAAGTGTTCTTAGGCCTGGTATTCCAGAGGGTCCCATCTGCCTTAGGTACAAGAAGAGGTATGGATGTTACCTTGACCTTGTCACTGAGACTAAAACTTGAGCTGTGATAAGAGTAGGGTCATAGACCAAAGCACCAGGAGCAAGGAAGTCTGTGTTTCTTTTGCTTTCTGCTTCTTAGAACAGAGTGTTCTTGCCCTTTTTAGCCACTACCTGGAAAGTAAAAGTCTTAAAGGGGACAGCTTATGCCTGCAGTGTCTGCATCTCTACCAGCAGCAAAATGTGACCTCAGCCCACTAACCATGGCTCCAATTACCAATTTATGTCCTCCAACAAGGCACAGGGGACTCATTGCTCTTGCAATTAGATGCTTACAGAAATTATTTGCACATGTTATCATGTAGGCTATAAGGGAGGCAGCTCTTAAAACATCTGGATCACAGTGTCTTGGGAAGGAAGCTTGTAGAGTCAGAAATTCATTAGGTAGAGGAGACATTGAAAGGTCTCCTCATTTGCCCCCTTGCTTCTAGAGAGAAAGAAAAAAGAATTTTCAAGATGCCACCTTTAAAGCCATAAAAAAGCTGATCGTGTCTCTTCCTGGAAATCGCAGATGGTACTGAATCACCTTTATAACCAGGGCCAAACACATCTCTCCTGCTAGAGTTGGAGCCCGTTCTTCTGGTGCACGGGCAAGTCTGTCTCCTCCCACCTGGAGAGCCCTGCGCCCTCCTCTCCGACCAGGCTAGCGGGTTTCACGGGAATTTCCTCTACAGCTGTAGTGAGAAAGCACCCGACCTTTGACATGAAGCAGACCTTTTCTCCAGTTATTGAGTAATCTTGGGCAACTTAAAACTTCTCCAAGTCTGAATTTTCTTATCTATAAGATGTAAACGATAATGTAATACTATCTTCTTGCAGCATTGTGAGAGGAAAATACATGGTACATAAAAAGCCTTCAACAAATATTCCTTTCCCTTCTCCTTCATTACAGAACACCAAAGAGATTACTCTACAGGAACTTGTTTCCCAAGTGATTTTTTTCCCTCACATAACTTAGCACTTTATTACAATATATCATTATCATTGATGCAAATATATACAGAATATTGCCGATTATACTTTTTGTCTAAATAGTTCTTTTCTGCAACTAGAATATCAGCTCCCTGTGGACAGGAGGCAGCCCTTGTCTCTCACTCCGCATAGGCTGGGCCTGTTGGAGTGGCCAGTGTTGAGAACCTGATGTGCAATCTTTATAAGGTCATTTTTCTGTTTTTTCATCTCAAAGAAAAAGAATGGGAAATATACCCAGCACCATGCCTGGCATATACTAAATGCTGAGTAGAGTTCATTTTGTGATCTCACTTTTACAGCCTTTCGTTATAGATATTATTTACCAATTCTTTGACCAGATTTTGGTTTCCTCTCCAAATCCTCTCTGAGTCCTCTGTAGTTTTTAGTGTGTGGAACTCAGACCTCGACACCTCTCTCCAAGACCCTCTCTTATGCTGAATGTGAGGATAAAGGGGAGACATGGCAGAACCTCAGCTGTCACCCCTGGCCTTTGCCCTCCCCCTCCCCCTCTTCTGGGCCATTGTGTCCTTCTTAGCTACGTGGTGACAGCCAGATTCAGCCTGGATCCACAGCCCAAATGGCATTTTCCTCATTTTTGTCAAGTCTTTGCCTGTACCTGGGACGGAACGAGGTGAGGAATAAACCACATTTCTGAAGGTCTTGCTGAAGCAGCTTAGCTTCAGGCCATCAAATACTCTCTGTCCTGTAAGCCATGCTGAGACTTTATGGGTTCTTTAACTGGCCATCACGTGGCTGGAGATGAAAAGGCATTTCCAGGTGTTCCCAGCTTTTGTAGAGTGGCTGAGATGTAGGGACAAAGCCACAGTGTGAAGACGATTTCTCTTGGAGAAGAAATTGGGTATCACCAGGGCTCCCTATTGATTTCACATGCTGAATTCTATCCCAGGACTTTGGTGCAACCATGGTAAGCACAAGCAGGAGGAGACAGGTTTTGTGTTGTGTTCTCTTGGATTGTATTGGGTTGTATTTTGAAGGCACATCCACAGCACTTCCATGTACCAAACACTGTTCTAAGAGCTTTGCACATATTCGTTAGTCCTTAGGACAACCCTGTGAGGTAGATATTATTATTATTACCCCCAATTTACAACTGAGGAAACTCAGGTGCATAGAGATTAACTTGCCCAGTGTCACACAGCTAGTAAGTGGTGAAGTCAGGATTAAAATCTAGACAGGCTGGCCCCAGAATCTGCTCTGATGCTGCATAGGAAAAAGGGGGGAAACTCTGGCTAAGGAATAAAGAATTCTGTATTTGTTTTCACCAGGGCTGTTGCGTCCCTCGACAGAGGAAATTTGGCCCCATGTTCTTTCCCCTCTTGCTGTTCCTAGCCTTTTCACCCATTAAAAATATAGCCCATTAAAGAAATAAACAGTTTTGCGAAATCTTGGAATGTCTGTGAGTGGTGCTGTATGGGGAAGACATGTCTCAGGTGGTAATGTGGAGCAAAGGAACAGATCTGGGGTCTGAAATAAACAGTTTTGCGAAATCTTGGAATGTCTGTGAGTGGTGCTGTATGGGGAAGACATGCCTCAGGTGGTAATGTGGAGCAAAGGAACAGATCTGGGGTCTGGCCCTGCCACTGCCATCTACTACTGTATGTGACATTGACAAGGGAGCTTCTCTCTTGGCCTCAGTTTCCCTGGCTGTTCCAGATGACCTCTGAGGTTTTCTTTCAGCTCTCATGATCTGTGGGCTCTGAGTCATTGGTTTGTCTGATTTCAGTCCACTCATTCTATCGTTGGTATTTGTTGTACTCCAGTGGGGTCCATGGCTAACTGCCTAAGTTGAAGAGTTGGGGGAAGAAGTCAGAGGATGAGGGAGGTTTGAGGGCAGAGGTGCCCCACGGTTTCTGAATTTGCTCACCTGTGACATATGTTCTCTCAAGAGAAAACTTTACTTTCATCGGTTCAATTCCAGTTGGGAGACGTGTATGCTTTTGTGGAATGAGCAAAGAGATGAATTTTGGCATTGTCTAAAACTTCTAATCTTGGCTCTGCCACTTACTTACTGGGTCACCATAATCATGTTCCTTCATTTCTCTGATACTAGGTTTCCTCAAATATGAAATGCAGAAAATGTCTACCTTGTAGAATTGGAAATTGGGATAATTGAGTAAAATAAAAGTATTTAATATATATATGAAGCCCTAGCCCTGTGCTGGCACATCGAAGGTGATCTCTTCTGGTTGGAGGAGAAGGAGGAGAGAATCCAATCCTGGGCGGTGGAAAATGTCCTCTCCCTGATCTTCGGGGCTGAGAGGACAGCATTTTTTCCCTTTCAGGTTACCCTGGGTGTCTATCCTGGGGGCTGGATGGTTGGGATTTGTGAGACTGTGTTTTCCTGTGCTGGCTGATGCTAAGCTCACTGATGTGGGCATAGTAGAGGTCCCCAAAAGGCTTGGTGTGTGAATGAACACCCCTCTTTCCCAGTGACAGGAAAAGGATGGGAAAGAGGGATCTCTTGGGCACTGCAATTTTCCTGCAGATGCCCCCGGAAAGCCTTGGCCCGAGCCATCTGAGGAGGCTCTGCAGAGGGGTGGGCAGGAAAAGACCTACGGAGGTGGTGCACCAGCCAGCTCAGGGACAGGATGAACGTCAAGGACTGCTGCCACAAGGACAGCGGGAGGAGAGGGCTCTGCCTCCTTCTTGGGAGAGCAGGTGAGGACAGGCTGCATGGAGGTGGAGGGAAGAAGACTTTTCAAAAGAGCGTAAAGACTCTAGGAGCAAAAGAGAGGGGGGAGGGAGGGATCTAGAGGGAGAAAGGGGTGGGGAGAGAGAGTAGGAAGAAGTGGGAGGAGGGAGAGCAACAGATACCGATTAAAAAGAGGGTGGAAGAGGAACAACTGACAGGCTCAAGAGCAGAGAACACTGGGCAGTTGAAGAGGCAGCCAGAGCACGAAGAAGCCAACGGCAGTTCCAGGGAGCAGGAAGAGAAGCAGGTAAGGGGGGACTTGAATTTTAAGAGATAAAACTACAAGTCGACAGGAAGCAGCCAGAAGAGAGAGACTTGAATTCTGGGCTAGATAAAAACAAAGCTTTCTCTGTACCTGTGAGTTTATCCTCTGCCCCTCTCACCATTTCCTGTGATAGCGACGTTTGGATATATTAAGAAAGTTTAGCGAGGCCGCAGATAAGTTACTTACTTGATTTATGAGGAGCTGGGGAAATGTGAGTGGAGGGCCCTGGGGTGACAGGCTGCCTCCTGTGGAGCTGCAGCGCTCCGGGGACATCTTAGAAGTGGGTCACCAGTCCACTTCCAAGAACTTTTGTGAAGAGGAATTGGCCCTTTAAAAACAAAACCACAGTGTTTTATGATGCTTTCTTTAGGCGTGGAATCTTTTTTGAAATGCTTTCTGCAGCATCTAGGGGAGTGTTTTGATTTTTTTTTTTCTTCCCAAGGCATGTTGGATGGTTTAAAAATATTCCCTGCTTAGTTTCCTGCAGAGTATCATGTCCCCGCTGTGCCCGGCTGCATGTGAGAAATCTGGGCTGCCACTCACAGTCAGAGGAAAAAGGCCAGTGAGACCCAGAGAGGAAGCCCGGGAGAGGTGCCACTGAAGGTCTCCTTTCCACCTGAGGTAGATGACCACAAGGCAGAAAGGGTCCTGTTGGCTCCTTCCTTGACCTTTCTTCTGAGCATGTGACAAAAGGACCCAGACTCAGGAGCTGGGAGACCCGGTCCCCTGAGTGGCTGTGACCTTGGACTAGACACTTCCCCCTTCTGGGCCTCACCTTCTTCATCTGTAAAATGTGGGATTTGAAGTAGAAGGATCTTTCTGGTTCCATTCAGCAGCAACATCGTGCAAGGCTACGCTTCCATACGCTAAAACAAATGCAACTCAGAATCGCTGAGAAAGGGATGCTGGGCCTGAGGATTTCATATCTGTACTGTTCCTTTGTTCTGTTTTTTCCTTCATTCCCCCTCGCAGCATCCTATCATAATAGAGGGATTCCTGGTTCTTACTCCCCAGCACATCACCAGAGTGGCTGTTTCCCTCTGGCACAACGGGGTGTGACTGGCCTGAGAGAAGGAAGGGCAGTGCGAAGAGCACTGGACAGGGAGTCAGGAGACCTCAAGTCCAGTGAAACTGGACAGGGAAGAGAGCAAGGCCAGTGTGTGGAGTGCAGCACCTCCATCTACCTGGTGGTGTGGCTCGTGGCTGGGGACACAGCTGGTATTTAGAGGCATCCCTGCCTGACTTGCACATCAGCAGGCCAAGTGGCCTCCGTCCCCTCCACCACTGCCCCCAAAGGCACAGCCCAGCGCAGATCCTGATTCACTGCTCTCTGGGGACAGTGCTGAACTTTCTACCCTCCTGCCAGGTCCCCAGGGTGGCAGAGCCTGTTCCCCTGGCTGTGTGTCCAGGCCTTTTCCTCACCCAGCAGCTGCTAGTGAGGAGTCCCAGTGACCACAGCACGCACAGCAGAGCACCCGAGGGGCATCCTCTGAGCATCCCCTTGCACAGACACATGACATTCCCAGAGTCATGGCAGTCACGGAATCAGCTGCCCTGTCTTTCCACTGTCTTGGAACCCCCGAGGTGTTCTTGCTGGGCTCCTGAAACTGGTCATTGTTCTTACCTATTAGCTGCCTCTCTCCTGCTAAGACTGGCCTAAAGTCCTAGGATGCTAGAACTGGAAGAAGTCTCTTAGATTGCCGACTTCCTCCTTTGATAAATAAGGAGAAGGAGGGCTAGAAAAGGGAAGTGACTTGTTGATTATGACACGAGTCAGGTCCATCTCAGTTGGGAGAACACCCTGCTCTGCTCACTCTCACCTAGAACTCCTCTAACCTCTGTCCTACGCTGTTTCCCCAGCTTCTCTCTTCCCCATGCATCTCTCTCTCCCCCAGTCTCTGTGATTTTTCCATTCAAGCATCTCTACAATCCTATTTTATGGCAGTGACACACACCTGCCCATCTGCTCCTCATCATCTCTACTGGCTGGTAGGGGCACAAGCAGTGGAGGGTCTGGGGCTCAGGCAGCCAACAGGGCTGCCACAGTGTCATGTGGCCTCTTGGGTACTGGCTGCCCTACCTCTGTGCCCAGCCAGTTAAAACAGGACAGGGGGCCTGTGTGTGTGGATCAATCAGGACAGGAACTGGAAGACATACAGTATTCAGGGCCAGGAAATCCAAGGCCCAAGCCCTGCCCCCTGTCCCAGGGAAGGACTCACCTACTGGGGATTTCAGCAGATCTCTGTGTGAATTAGCACCCCGAGGCCCCACCTGAGGTCAAGGGTTGAGCTGGCCAAAGGGAAGAGATGCTCATTTTCCTGGAAAGCTTCAGAGCTCCAAGAAAAGAAACTGCCTGGTAAATGCCAGCTTGATGACACTTGGTGAATTAGGAAATAATGGACAAGAAAAATTCAGCATTTAACAATTCACTCACTTTCATAAGGAAAGGGATTTGGGAGGTCTCAGAATTAGAGGTACTGAAATAGCACAGGGGGACTTCAGAGTTTACCTAATTTAGGGTTAGGGCAGAAGGCAGAGCCTGAGAAGTTTGGAGTCATATTTGGGTTAGAATTTCAGCTGTGTGACCTTGGGCAAATGACATAATGTCTCTGATCCTCAATTTCTTCATCTGCCAACAAGGCTAATAAATATCTTCCTTGGAAGGTTTTATGAGGATTAAAATATTTTAACTGGCTTTCAAATAATAGGTGCTCAATGAACAACAGAACAATAAGGTAGAATCCAGGTCACCTGGTTCCCAGCCCAAGTCTCTTCGAATTGCATCTTATTTGATACAAAGGCCTTTCTACAATAAAGATTCACCATGACATATAATTCTCAGAAGGTACTGCTTGATTTTTTTTTTTTGTCTTTTTCCGTGTCTGGCAACGGATCGCAACCCTCAGTGTTGCCCTCGTACCGGACTGGGGACCGGCAACGGGATTGCAACCCTCGGCGTTGCCCCCGCGCCTCGCTCAGCCAGTGAGCGGGAACCGGTCTGTATGTGGGATCCGAACCCTCGGGCGGGAGCGCCGCCGCGCTTCCCAAGCGGCGCACTTATCCAGTGTGCCACCGGGCCGGCCCTGGTACTGCTTGATTTTTATGACCACAGATTTTGTTTCTGGGACTACTTTTGCTGACCTCTAAGCTGGGAGTCATACAATCTGGATTTGTGTCGTTGCTGTGCCATTAACTTGCCATACCATCACAACTGGGCAAGTCACCAACCTCCCATATGTTCTAAGTTAGAGCTGGAAAAGCCTTAGCAACCACCCAGCTCAACCCATTTGTTTTACACATGAGCAAACTGAGGCTCAGGGAGGGGGAATGTCTTGCCTAGGGTCACAAAGACACAGCTAGGACTAGAAAGAGACTCTTTCATAAAATGGTAACATTGTATTTTCAAAGGATACTTCCAGAATCTTAATCCAACCTTCAAACTTCATGAGGCAGAACTTCAGGAGAGGGCAGAGGTGGCTGGGGTCAAAATGCCCCCTCCCCTCCGATCACAGAGTAGACAACCCCCTCTTTCTCTTCCAAGTAGAACTGAGCCTGCTTCAAACCCTTTGTGGGTGTGACTTCAGCTTGGTGACCAGATTCGGAATTGCTGCAGCTCCTCATGTGAAGTCCATCTACAGGCCCAAAAGCTTGAGTTAAAGACACATTAGGAGGCAGGCTGGACCAGTCACAGGAATGAGAGGGGCCTGATCCGAGTGGGCCCTGCACCTCCCTGCTTTCCCAGCCCTGCCCCAGAGGGTCTTGATGCCTAGTGAAATAACTAATTTACAGATAGATTAATATTCTTCCCATTGCCCATGGTTTCCTTATCTCTCTGATAGTCACCTTCCTGCACCAGTGCCACATGCGAGTCCTTGCTGTGTCACTAACCAGACTGCAGCACTATCAGATTCTGCATCAAGTTGGCTAGTTGACTCATGTTTAAGAGGAGTTTTTACTGGAAATGTCAGAAAGACAAACAAACAAGCAAAGAAAAACAAAAAACAGAAAACACCAAAACAAGGCCTACTATGTGTCAGATACTGTTGTAGGTGTTTCCACATATTCACATATTCTTTAATCCCCATGAGTAAACATTCACATTTTTCAGCTGAGTTGAAACTGGGAGGTTAAGTGACTTGCCTAAGGTCAAACAAATAGACAGTGTTGCAAACAGGGTCCTAGCCCCACTATTTCTTAGAAATCATGAGTCCCTCCACCTAACTATTGCTATTTCTGTTGTTCTTGTTATGATCTGACATCAATGGAACACCAGAGCCTGCTGTTTGGCCAGCTGAGAACCCAGCACTAGACACTGCTGCAGCCAAGAACACTTACTGGCTAAAAAAGGAAATAACTTTCTATATGTGAATTCTGGCCAAATGGTGGCAGATGCTGAAAAGTCTGGGAATCCTGAGCACTGTGGGCTGAGGGCCCCAATGTAATAATTAATTCTAGGAATAGCATATGCGAGAGATGGCCAGCCAACAAGTCAGAAGCTAAAAGGAAAAACCCTGGGCCTCTTATGAGATGAGGTAAACTGGAAAAAACCCTGCTCACAAAGTTAAGAGACTAAGTTGTGGTCTTAGGTTTGTCATCATCTATCAGTCCTAGGGCCTCTTTGATTCTCTTTCCCTTTTCAGAGACACAGATGGTGTGGGCTTTGGAGCCAGGTCAACCAGGTTCAAGTCCCTTATGTAGCATTTGCCAGTTGTGAGACTGTACAAGTCAACCTCTGAACCTCAATTTTCTCTTCTGGGAAATGGGACAATACTACTTTGCTAGCAGGGTTAATGGAAGGGTTAGAAAGTATAGCTGAAACATGCTTCACACATGGAAAATACTCAAGTTAGTGCTATTATTACTATTACTTAACTTTCCTGGATCTTAATCATCTTGTGTAAAAATAAGGGGCTGAGTTCGATTGATCTCTAGGTTCCTTTCAGCTCTACTGCACTATGAATCAATGACAAGATGGTGGGAAC